GGAAGTCATTGAGAAACACAGTCTCAATTTTGACTGGTTTAAAAGCTTTGTGTCAGATGGAGCAAGTGTCATGGTGGGAGAAAGGTCAGGTGTAGCTACCAGGCTGAAAGCAGATGAAAGAATCCAGTCGTTAATATCTGTCCACTGTGTTTGTCACAAACTAGCGCTGGCGTGTACCGACACTTTAAACGATCTTGCCACAATAAAGAAGATGCAGAACACACTAAACACCCTTTGGCGACTCCTTGACAACTCGAACAAGAAGACAGCCATTTTCCTGAAAGTTCAACTTGAGGTGAGTGAAATAACTCTCTCAAACAAGAATTCGCAGAAGAAGATAGCTAAGAAGCTGAAGAAGGCCTGTCAGACACGATGGCTGTCATTTAACGCTGCCGTTCAATCCGCTTGGGAGATCTTCTCTGCCATCATCCAGTTCCTTATCAGGATGAAAGATGAGGACCCCACATGCCAGGGCCTGTTAGTTCAAATGAACAACGTCCGCTTCCTGGCTTGCTTGTATGTTTTAAAGCATGTGCTTCCTGTTCTTGACAACCTGTCAAAATCGTTTCAGCATTCTACTGTCAATTTCAGTCACCTTAAACCAGAAATTGTTCGTGCTAAGGCAGCGCTGGATGAAGTGGCAACCAAAGAAGTCCCCATCAAGCAATTTTGCCAAGATATCAAGGAAGGAAAGATGGTGCTGCTGCAGTTTTCCCCTTCTGAGCATCAGCTTGCATCCATGCGAAATTTGTTGCTCAAGTATGTCTCTGCTTTGAAAGAAAACATCGACCTGAGGTTTCAGAACACCCTCCCTCTTCTGGGAGCGCTCTCCATCTTTGATCCAACTCTTATTCCTGCAAGCTCTTCAGAACTTCCCTCTTACGGAGTAGATTCTATCCAAGTTCTTGCCAAGCACTACTTCCCCAACCAACAAGACCGACTTTTGGCAGAGTGGAATATATTAAAGTACCACATGAAGGAGATGGCCATTCCAGCTGATGTAAAAGAAGGCAATACTACCATGCCAGCAGAGTGGTGCATGTCCCAGCTAATGAAACAAAGATCTTCTTTCCTTTCTCTTCTCCCTCTCCTCATGCACATTGTAGAAATAGCTCTCACGATGCCCATAAGCAACGCATGGCCTGAAAGGGGAGTCAGTCGAGTTAAGCTTATAAAGTCAAGGCTCAGGAGCAGGCTGACCAATGAGATGCTGGAGGCCCTTGTTAATATCTCTATGAATGGTCCAGAGGCAAATTCTTCAGAATGTGACACCCTGGTGAAGAAGACCACTGAGAAATGGCTCTCTGGAAAA